CCCCAAAAAAAAAATGTATATAAAAATCAGTTTGTTTGGTAGAAAATGCTTGAAATGTTTTGCTCACGTGGTATAGGCAAGACCACTTAACCCAATGAGAAAGATTTGACAAGCGTGGTGGGTTCAGGGGATAGACCATTTGTATATACTTCAATGCAGGAACAGTCCAGATAGAAAGGTATGCCTTATTGTGGATGGGAAAGCCCATTTTGCTCCAAACTGGCTTCAAAAGCATTTTCTGCATATCTGCACAACTGAGCCAACCCAACTTTTTTGTCTAAATATCTTTTTAATCGAGCAAATAATTGTCAGTAATTTATGCGTACACGACAGACAAGGTCATAACTGACTCATATAATGCAAAACCGCAGAAGAATTCATTAGAAAACAAATACCCAGAGATGGATTTATGTATTTGTAGCACTGTGTGTTCAGTAACCTCACTGCAGTTGGTATGAATGAATCCAAAAGTTGCGTGTAGTCGGCGATTAACTAATTAATTGAGTAATTAATGAATTAGCAAATAGATAGATAAATTAATAATGAATAAATAGATAAATAAATAAATAGATGAATGAATGAATGAATGAATGAATGAATGAATGAATGAATGAATGAATGAAAAGTAATTAACCCCTTCAAAACGTAGCAGTTACATGATTTACGATAGGTCTGATCAGTAACAGACCTAAGCCAATGTTACAGTCAACAAACTTCCAACATTTTACACAAAGCGAAAGAACAAAGTTTGCATACTTTATGGTATGTATGTTGCAGCAGTCTGCCTTTTTACGTTTCAGATAAAGAAAATGGAAGGAAAAAATATGTACGGTATCATAACAAAGTTATTATGCCTCTTTTTTAAGTGACCCAAACAAAGCATGGTGTCTTCATCACTCCATCAAACTTTTGGAAAAATAACCAAAAATGTCTATTCTAGTTGAGGAAAAACTTGGCCCAATTTTATTTCTCGAGGCGAAACCAATTTTCTACACGTCTGAGTTGTCTGTCATTATTTATTTTGCTTGTTGTTTTTCATTTTGTTTCTTTTCGGAAGAGGAAAAAGGTTAATGTTTTTGAAGCTTGTGCGCGACGCATCTTGTGGGTTTATGATTGGTAGATTGTTCTGTGTTGTTTTTCATTTCATTTGTTGAAGGTGATTATTTTTAACAAAACCCGGTGTGAGTTTCCTTTTTTTTCTGTATTATTACTTCAAAATAAACATCAAAATGTGGCAAACCCTATTCTGCCAGAACTGATCTCAGGGGGGGGGGG